ACTCACTGTGGCTGCTGGCCGCTCACGCTGGCTGCTGGCTACATACGGTAGCCCATGGCAACCCACTGCAGCAGGGGCTGCAGCCTACGCCTTTGCCGGCAACTCACAGCAGCCCAGCTCCAGGTTGAGCTGTTGTTCAGCATCTTAACTGTGGAGGGCAGTGTCACTGGCCCTCATATGTGGGATCCGAACCGGGGCCCTCTGGCGTCCCAAGCCAGTTCTTAACCAACGCGCCACTGGCTGGCCCACTTCTCTGTTTCTTAAAATACAGTGCCAAGTGTTCCACCGCCGTGTACATTTCCCCTCAATGTTGCAACACTGATACCTACATATGTACATGCACACATGTCTGTACATACAGAAACACACATGCATGCATTTATATATACAGTGCACATACGAGGTCTAACAATTAAGTTCACGAACTCATCCTAGAAAAAGTGCTACATATCTTATTGTTGAATACAGTATGGTCACCTTCGAAATATTCTCCTTGGGAAGCTATGCACTGACGCCAGCGCCCAGTCCACCCTTCAAAGCAATTTTGGAACTCTTTTTCTGGAATGGCCATGAGAGCTGTTGTCATACTACCCTTGATGTCCTGAATGTCATCAAAATGTCTTCCTTTCAATATTTTCTTTATCTTCGGGTAAAGAAAGTCACTGGGGGCCAGATCAGGTGAGTAGGGAGGGTATTCCAATACAGTTATTTGTTTACTGGCTCAAAACTCCCTCACAGGCAGTGCCGTGTGAGCTGATGCATTGTCGTGATACAAGAGCCATGAATTGTTTGCAAAAAGTTCAGATTGTCTAACTTTTTCACGCAGCCTTTTCAGCACTTCCAAATAGTAAACTTGGTTAACTGCTTGTCCAGTTGGTACAAATTCATAATGAATAATCCCTCTGATATCAAAAAAGGTGAGCAACATCATTGCAACAATTCTGCGAACTTGATTGCCCGACCTCATATGTATGCATACGTAGGTATATGTATTATACCTATTATATGTATCTATTATACCTATTATATTATACCTATATATATCTATTAACAGGTCTAATATGATTCTTCATTATATACTACAGTCAAGGACATTGCCTGCCCTACCCACAGTCCTGCTCAAAGGTCAGCTCTTAAACAGCTGTGCTTTAGACCTGTGTCCATGGGCCATCGTGGGTTGAACAAGAATTAATCTTGAGGCTAACCTTTGACCTATGACATCACCTGCCACAAAACAATGTGCTGGGCCTATCAGAGGCTCCACTCAGGACTGGCCCTGCTTAGACAGGAGGCTGTGCCTGCAGTTGATGCTGGAAGGACCCTAGACAGAAGCCATTCGGGAGAGTTTGGGTCATGACAAGTCACAGCCCTGAGGTGCAGAGCCATAAGACACATGAAAGCTCTGCGAACAGAGGGGGAAAGCGCGGACGAGGAAGCAACAGAGCAGACAGGAGCGGGCAGGTGACCGTCATCAACACGCGCTGAAGTGAAGCTTCACAGCCGGCTGACACATGGGGATGGCCTCCGGGCCTGTGTGTGCCGCTGCCCTGTCTGTTCTTTGGAGAGCTATGTCCACTGAGGGGCCAGGGGGCTGATTGGTCCCCTGAGGCTGTGTTCACTGTTTGATTTTCTTTGCGCATTTGCCTGTTCAAGGATCTCACTGGGGTCTCCTGGATGCGGAGACAATGACATATTATTAGATCAATTAGGCAAGTCCTCTCAGGGCACCACTGAGCCAGGCCTGTGTGGGCGCTGGGGAGCCCTTTGGACGCTCTCACAGGCCAGGTGAGCCTGACTGAAGATCGTTGGAAGCAGCTGATCCTAGGTTCCCATTTTACAGAAGCAGAAACTAATGCCCAGTGAAAGCAGTATCTATTCAAGGTCCTAAGCAATCTTCAACAGAGCCAGGACAATCCTATCCTTCCCCAGCAAACTGTGCAGAGGCCTGGCTGCGGGGGATGGCCAGGGGACTGACACCTGGTCTTCCAGAGATCCTAATCTGGGAGGTCTGGGAAAGGACCCTCTGCCCACCCCCCCCTTCCAGACCCGAGTGCCCCGTCCCATTCAGCTCTGCTTTTTGCTCAACCCAGTATTTGGGCAGGCTCCCTGCCTCCAGCCGGTTGCGAAAAGGCCCACGCTGTCTTGTTGGTGGCCCCTAGGTTGCCCAGCTCTGACAGGTCCCATTCCAGAAAGGCAGAGCTGGGAGCTGAGGAGCCTCTGGAGCCCAGGATCCCTGCCTGGTTGAAACCTTGGAGGGAATCCTAGGTGTGGACCAGGTCTGTTTTTGTCTCTTAGGTTGCTTCATCACATGAGGACGGGGAGCTCAACCCTTTTTCTTCTTTCTACTATCTTAACAGCTCTGTAACTTGTCTGCCCCTGGAAGCCTCTGCCTGTTCCACGCTGCTGCTGGAAAGTTCTCCTGACACACAGGGCACATCAGGTCCCCAGCCCCAGAAGCCCCCAAAGGTATCCCACTGTCCACTTGACATCCCATTCCAACTCCTACCCCTGGCCCAACAACCTGGTCATGGTCCCTTGCCACTTCCCCCCACTCCCACATACTGTCCCCTCAGTCAGCGCTGTCTCCCATCTCTCCATTCCAGTATCTGCCCCTTCCTTCCAGGTGAGACCCCAGTGAGGCCTCTCTGAAAGGCCTTTCTTGACCAGCTGTAATTTCTTGCTCTAGCTCACATGCTCATGACAATTGTGCGCCCCCTAGAGCGACACTGAGGGTGCACACTCCTTTACAAGCTTTGACCCTTGCCACACAAACTTTTATTTTTTTCTTCCTAGTCGTTCAGACTACGGATTCAAGATGAAATACGTCACAGCCCCTCTTGGATTATAAGGGAATATTAACAAGAGACCAGTTTGGGTTCTAAAACAGAGAGAAAGGATCTAAGAGTCTGTTCAGGTGAACGCAGGAACACTGTGAGTTAAGATGAAAAAACCCATCTAACTCCATCGGTTTCTAGAACGCCTCCTATCATAAACCGCAGCACTTGGCAATACACAGGTGGGCTGTTTATTTCTAGAGGAAACTTCCTGGTGGCATGCTAGCACCAACAGCCTCTCTCCCTTTGGTTGCTCCCATAACCAGGTCACTGTCCCACCGAGGCAGCCTTGCTTTCCTTCTAGGGACCATCTATTTAGCTATGACGAGGAAGCATATGGGGGGAGGAGGTGAGGCTACAGGGAAACAAAATTTAGCAACAAAATGAAAGGCCCCGGAAGAAAAGTCAGAGGGGCCAAAGGAAAAAAATTCTTTCATTCAGATAGCATGTCTTCTGATCACAAATTGACATTTATGTTTGTATGTTTTTCATAGCACTAGTAAAATGGTGTCTTAACTATACTCTTAGCTTATTCCCTCATCATTTCCTGCGCTACATTCATGATTTATTCATGAGGGAAGGCATTTCCACGAAATCCTTCCTGCGGGATCATCTCAAGCTACACAGATTTAACGTAAACATCGCAGTCCTCAGTGACTGTGGCAGAGCTTTCTTAGCACTCACGGAACACACAAAACAAACTTTTATGTTTTCCTTTTGTTTTAATTAAAGTCATACCCCTCACGAGAGAATAAAGTCTATGTGGGTGTAGAAAGTCTGAGATGCCAGGAGAAAACGGGTCAGCTGACTGCTTGTGAACAGGAGAAGTATAATTCCTGACTTCCTTTGGATGAAATCCTGGGAGGTGAAAATGAAGCGAGCCTCTGACCACGGTCTCCTTCCGGGTTAGGTCGCCACCTGCTGCATGGGCCTGAGATTAGGTGAGACAGCGAAGGCGCTGCCGGTGCTCTTTCTGATGTCCTCCACGGTCAGGCCTTCCCAGAGCTCAGTCAGCGTCAGTCCTTTCTTGTGAACGTCAAACACGGCTTTTTCCGTGATGATTCGGTCCACGCACCGCTTCCTAGTCAGGGGCATCGTGCATTTCTCCAAGATTGTGTGTTGATTGGCCTTGGTGCAGTGCTGCGAGACCACCACTTTGGTCTTGGGGCCGGACACCAAATCCATGGCACCCCCCATTCCCTTCACCTTCTTCCCGGGGGTCATCCAGTTAGCCAGGTCACCGTATTTGGAAACCTGCATGGCTCCTAGCATGGTTAGATGGATGTGCGCCCCTCGGATCATGGCAAATGAGTCATCGCTGAAGAAAAGCAGCCCCCAGGAAGGATGGTGACCGTTTGCTTCCCCGCGTTGATGATATCTGCATCAATCTCCTCTTTTAATGGAAATGGACTCCCAGGATTCCATTTTCACTGTGAAGGTGCAGTTACGTTGGGGCTGAGGTAGTTGCTGGCCAGAAGGGGGATCCCTACGCCCAAATTGGATACACGCCATCCTCAAACTCAAGAGCTGCCCGTTTGATGATTCGCACCCTTGGGTCATTCACAGACATGTCTTTTCCGTCTTCCTCTGTCCGGATTGTTAAATGCTTAATTATTTTCTCGTATTTGGCCCCCAGTATCACGCGATCTACATAAACATTAGGAACTTGGATGTCTTCCGGGGCAAACGACCCCACGTCTATAATTTCTTCCACCCCTACCACGGAGGTTTCTGCAGCCTTGCACATGGGCACGTTGAAATTCCTGGCGCTGCCCTTGAAGATGATGTTTCCTGCGCGGTCGGCCTTCCACCCTTTTACCAAAGCAAAATCCGCCGTGATGGCGTGCTCCAAAGGATCGTGTTCCCGGTGAAGCTCCCTCACCTCTCTGGGCTGACTCATGATGGCGGTGTGGCCATCCCGGTCGTACCTGATGGGGGCGCCTCCTCCCTGACCGAGGATCCCGTAGGCCGTGGGCGTGTAGAAGGCCGGCACCCCGGCCCCGCCCGCGAGGATGCGCTCGGCCCGGGTGCCCGGGGGCGTCAGCTCTAGCTCCGGCTCGCCCGCCCAGGACTGGTGCTCGCAGAGCGCGTTCTCGCCCACGCAGGAGCAGATGATGCGGTTGATCTGCTTAGTCGCCAGTAAAAGGCGCAGCCCGAAGTCGCCCGCCCCCGGTGCTGCGGACCACGATCAAGTCCTGTACGCGGGTCTTGAGCAGCGCCCCGATCAAGCTTTCCGGAATCCCACAGAGCCCGAAGCCGCCGACCATGATTTTCGCCCCATCCGAAATGTCCTTCACGGCCTCCACGGGATCCGTGTAGAACTCGGCGCGCGCACGAGCGCTCGTGGGGAAGCCGCAGACGCCGCGGTTGACCCGCGCGGGCCCGGAGCCGCCAGTGGGCACATGGCCCCCCGGCGCTGAGTTCAGGAGCCGCAGGGCGGCCATCGTCTGCTCCGTCTGCTCCGGTTCTGGCTTGTCCGCCAGGGAAAGGCGTGGGGGTGGGGAGGGAGGGGGGGGTGTGGCTGGTGCGCCCCGGGCCGCGAGTCACAAAGCAGGGCAGCGACGAGCCGGCCTGCTGGTCCCCCCACGCCGTCCGGCTTTTGTCTCTGACCCACCCAAGGGCACCAGAGGCGCTGAGCCGTCTGTCCCGGGAACGGCGGGCGGCGGCGGGACCTGTCCCGGGGACTGTCCGCCCCGACACGGAGGGAGTCTCGACCGCGCTGCCTGCTCGGGTCTGGGGCGCAAGTAGGCCCCGAGTCCGTGCCACTCAGGGAAAGAAGACTCGGCTGTCGGTCCCCTTCCTGCTCCATCACTTCGCTCCTTCCCAAGGAGACTTGCTCCAGTCCCTCGGCTCTAATCCACTTATATGTCAGTGGTTCCCACGCCTGTGTCTCCAGCACCCATCTCTCCTGGAATAACACTTCATGGACACCTGCCAAGCTCTCAGTGATATCAGCCCCAGAGAGAACTCCTTTTTTCCTACCTCAAACCTACCCCTCCTGTATTTTCCCCCAATTCAGGCAAAAAGGGAAAAAAAAAATCCACTGGCTGCATCCACGCTATCCATGATCCCTCTATACACTTTTCTCCATTTCCACTGCTACCAACAAGCCCCTCACAGCGCTCACCTGGACACTGGGTCCTGAACTCTCTGGTTCACTTCATTTTTGTCCTCACAGTTCATACATCCTACCGAGGTCATAGGGGTGTTTATTTTATACATAAGATAAAGTTTTTACTTAACAATAGTTGAAATTTACAGAAAAATTGCGAAGATAGTGTAGAGTTCCCATATACCCAAACATAGTGTCCCCCAGGACATGTTAACATTTAAATTACTGTGGTATATAATATGGTATATATGCCACAACTAATGAACCAATATTGGAATCTTATTTACTAAACACCCCGATTTATTCAGATTGCATTATCTTCTCCAAAGTCCTCTTTCGCTTCCAGGATCCCATCCAGGATCCCACATTACATTGAGATGTCTTGTCTCCATAGGCCTTTCCTGGGCTGTGACAGTTTCTCAGGCTTTCCTTGTTTTTGATGACCCTGACAGTTTTGAGAGGTACGTGTCAGGCGTTCTGTAGGACGTCCTTCACTTGGGTTTGTCTGATGTTTTTCTCATTGGTAGAAAGGTAGAAAGGTAGAATTGGTAGAAAGGGGTTTGGGAGAAGATGCACCAAGGAGCAGTGCCGTTCTCATCCCATCCTATCCAGGGTACACAGGAGCCACATGACTTATTCACGGGAACCTTGATCACCTGGCTGAGGTGGTGCTGGCCAGCTGTGTCCACCAATAAGTTACCGCCCCGCCCTGCTCCATACTGTCCTTCTGGGAAGTCAGTCACTGAGCGTAACCCACACTGAAGGCGTGGGAGTGGTGCCACACCTCCTTGAGGGGGGTGTCTCAGAGGGGTCTTCTGTAAAAACCTGAATCAGATCCTGCCATCCTCCACTGCTATTAAATTCAAGTGCTCCCTAGAAACTCCACCCCTTGCCCTGGTTTATCGTAACTCAGAATGCCCCTGCCTGACTCTCTCAATCTCCTCTCCTCCCAACCTCTCCCTGGCCAGCTCTGCTCCGGCCATGGCGGCCCCTGCTGTAGTCTAACACGCCAGTCCTGTGCCCACTTTCATGCTTTCTATTCCCATTGCCTGGCATAAAGGAGGCTCTCCCCCTCAAATACCTGGTGATTGAATGAATGCATGAATCCTCCTTCTGCAGATGAGAAAACGGAGGTTTGGAAAGATGAGTAACCTGCCAAGGTTACAGAGTAGAAAGCTGCAGAGCTGGGATTCAAACCCAGAGCCTGAGGGTGTAACCGCTTCCCCTTGTGCCCTGCCCAGTACGGAAACTCCAAAAGTAGAAGGCGGCTCCACAGAGCAAGAATCGCCCATTTCTTGGGGAGAGAAAGCATGGAGTCACTCTCTTAGCAACTCCAATGTTGGTTCTGCAGAAGGACAGGAGGGAAACCACCGCTGGTCAGGGCCTCCTGCTGTCCGGAATCGTGGGAACCTTGCCCTCTTTATCCCACCGACCCTGCAGTGGGGAGGGCATTATCACCCCAGTGGCCAGATGAGAAAGGGGTGGGCTCCAGGCCAATTGAGGGGGCTCCAGCTGTGCCTGCTGCCAGTAGCCTTGGAGGAGCGCCCAGGAGAAGGTTCGCTGCCCGACCCGTCTTACCATCCTCCGTTTCCACATAGAGGCGGAGTCCCAGGTCCTTGTTACGGTTCAGCAACCAGCCGTCACTGGCTGCTGTCACATCCAACACCAGCCAGCCCTCGTCCCCGGCTTGGAGCGTCTGAAGATCCAAAAAGAACAAGTCAGACTCCCTGTGGATACGAAAAAACAATTAACCAAAGCCGGCACAGCTGCCTCCGCATTTCCAGTGCTGGGGGACCATTAGTGGGACATCAACCCTCCTGGCTCTGGGCTGGGCACCTGATGTGCTTTATCTCACTGATCTACCGCAGAAAGGTGTTACCGTGCCGGTGGACAGATGGGGAAACTGAGGCTTGGGAGCTCAATGACCCATCCAAGGTCCCACAGCCAGGACGGCAGGGTGGGCACTTGAAGCCATGAGTGATGCTGGGCCTCTCCCCAGGGTGCTGTGAGGGTGCGCTCCCAGGAAGCTCCCCTCTGTCCTCTGGGAAATGTCGTCCCCCGCCCCCCACCTGAGGGGCTGGGTCAGACACACTGACAGAGGCTTGACCGGGACTTGGGGTGCAGAGTAGGCACCTGTTGGCCCGCTCCCTGACCACCTCGAACATGCTGACGAGGAGGGTCCTGTTGAGTAAGTGGGTGCTGGGCAGCTTGTAAATCCGGAACTCAGCAGCTGTGACCGCCTCCCCTGCTGGGATCTGGGTCAGGTCAAAGCGGAACTCCTTCCAGTGGGGCTCCTGGTGGCCCAGGGTGCGGTCGAGCTCCACTGCAAGACAAAGCGTGTTGGCGCTCACTCCTGGTTCTGGGCTCAGGCTCTGGGGTGGCAGGGCCTGGTGGGAGCCAGGGACTTGGGCAGCAGGGAAGGGGGGCATTCCCTCCTTGGGGGATGGGCTTGGCCCCACGCTCTGCTCCCCGGGTGCTGAGAGGGCCCCATGAGGCCTGTAGTGAGGTGCCAAGCACAGCTCCCGGCACACGGTGGGTGCCAACAAGGGCAGCTTCCATTTCTGGCCACCAAGCCCCAAACCCAGCAGGCCCTGGCTCAGACCCCCTGCTGGCTCTGGGACCCACAGATGAGGCAGGGGACAGGTCTCTCTTCCGGGGAGGTGGACATCAGGCCCAAGGCAGAAAAGGGCTACGGTGGTGAGTAGGGATGACAGTGCATTTCAGAGTCTGCCGATGTGCATGGATGGCACGTGGGAAACAGCGAGTGCTCACAGCTGACATTAGAGCTGGGCCTTGAAAGGTAAGAGTGCATTTGCCACGATGTCATGGGAGAGGAACACTGCAGAGAAAGGACCAGCGTGAGCAACGGCCTAGAGCTGAGGGGTACACAGCACAGGCAGGAAAACAACAGCCAGGAAACACAGCAAAGGGCGAAACGATGTCAGGTTCCTCATGGAGCAAGGTCAGGGACGAAGGCGGGTCAGAGGGAGAGACAGAAAAGAACAAGAGGCAAGGCAGGAGTGACAGCTCCTGGAGAGGCCCTGCCAAGTGCTGGGGGAGTCGGAGGGTCCCATAGCATGGTGAAATCTGAGCAGGCTTCCAGGAGGAGGTGACATCTGAACTGGCCTTGTTGGACGGGACAGTCTCGGAGAATGGAGGGGTGGTGGGGAGGACGTTGTAGGCAGAGAGGACCTTGTATGCACAGGTTGGGGGTGCCAGAGCCACGCACATATCAGCAGTGTGGGGTATGGGTGTGAGCATAGCTATGACATGACTGCTGAGGACTGGAGCTCCGGCCTAGGGGTGTAGGCTGTGCCTCTGGCCAGTGGGGAGCAGGGGAGGGGGTGGTTGGAGTGGAGTGGAAGCTGAGGGTAGAGGTGAGAGTAAAGCACAGGTAGGAGGGGACCTGAGGCAGCAGGGGTGGGGGGTGCTGGTCCAACACTCTGGGCAAGAGGTCGTGGATGAGGAATAAATCCCACATTTCCCCAGGTGCCCGGAAATGCCCAGGACAGTATATTTAGGGCCATCTCACTTTAGTCTACTGTCACTTTCAAACACTAAAAATCTGTGTTTCCGGAGAGCAGGGGTGGGAGCCGTCCAGCGCCTTCCCCAAAACCCAACACTGAGATTTTAATTACATGTCTGTGAGTCTTTTTAAAACTTCTCTCTCAGGCTACTGGGCTCAGTGACCACAAGTCACCAGGCTGGTGGCAGAAGCGGATGTGGGGAGTACTTCCTGTCCTCGCGGCGGGGACCTGGTCCAGTGATGCACAAGCAAACAGCTGTGCTGGGTGGGGCCAGTGGACACACATGTTTGGGCAGGAGAAGATGAGCATTTCACCCCCAGGCCGGGGAGAAGAAATAGAACGTCCATTGTCCTTCAGGGCGCTGGACAGGCAGCAAATGACCCCCAAGGCCAGGCTGTTTCAGAGGCAACATGACACAGGTGGCATCGGGGTCCTGCTGCACAGGCACAGCGTGGAGGGCAGGGTTTGGCACCTTCTCTGAGTGATGCTCACCATGAATCTACACAGGATTCCCCTCCTCCCTACACACACACACACACACGCACACACTTTGGTGACAATTCCGGTGGATTCAGGGACCACACAGACCACCTCCATTGCGTAGCTGTGTAGGAATCCCTGATCTGCAGGATTGTCGGCTGTCATAGAGTGACACAGAGGATGAGGACGGGTCACTCCATCACACCCTTTGCCTGACCCTTCTCAAAGCATCAGTAAGTGCATCTGTCCCCAGGCACAGCGGGGGCTGACTCGTGGGTCCTGGGGCTCCCTGGGCATCTCTGTCTCATTTCAGTTGGATCCGGGGACTGAGGGAACAAACCACAAACCTGCCAGCTCTGTGTGGGCACAAAGCCATGCGGCCTCCCTCTCTTGAATCAAGAGAACCTTGTTCACCTGAACACACCCCAGTTCCAAACTTCCGTTCTGTAGGTTTGAAATCAATAAACCACCCAGTAGTTCCAGCACAGGAAACCGCCCACCCTGGCTCTTCCAGGCAAGCTCCAGAGGGTGGGAAACTTTTAGGAAGATAATGCTTTTCATCAGAAATTGATAACTTCCTGGAGGGCAGCATTAAATGCACCATTAAACTAGACATTACTGTAATGGGCCAAAGGGAGTGTCCCCTTTCATTGGTGGGACATCTTTTGGTGGATGTACATCTTTTCAGCGGTTGCCCCTTTGGGTTAGGAAAGATATTTCTCAGAAGCTGAGTGAGGAAAAGCATTTGCTGGGACCTGGGTTGGTCCCTATGGTAGTCCCCAGGCAGGTAGCACCCGCTTTAGCCACTAAACCATCACTGAGAAGCACAGATGCTCTGGCCTGTGGCTGGGGATCCTGGTCCTGAGCAGGTGCTTTCCCTGCGAGCTCCTCACCTGTGTAGTGGGGCCACGAGGAGCCCTTCCACACAGGGCTGTAAAGGACTTTGTAAAGAGCAGGGATTATGAGATAGGAGCAGTGGCCATGCCTTAGGAGCCGGGGAGGGGTAGTGACCTCTCATTTCATAATGTAATCGATGTAGCAAAGTGATGACATCTGCCATGTGTGAAACTCAAGAGCCCTGGGGTGTCAGGAGAAGGAGAGAGACACTTAGCATTCTTTTTTCTGAATAAAGTATGAAATGAAAGATTATATAACATCAGATGTATCGATTCAACTGAAAGGCATTTGGACAGCGTCTGAGGGCCTCCTTTTCACCCGCCTGACCTTTGTCAAGACATTGATCCTCTGGGCCTCAGCACCCACATCTGCAAAATGACCACCTGAGTGAAACTGTAAATGCAACTGTAAAAAGCCATGCTTGCTCTTGCAGCCAGGACTCAGTTATGGTCCAGCAAATGCCTCTAATACAGTATTCAGGAGCATTTTATTTTCAGTGTCCCTTCATGTCCAGGCTCCACCTTCCTCATAACCAGGGTCTGGAATCCCCCAAAGATGTCCAGGCTCGGAGAGGCAGCCCCTCCGCAATGCCACTAGGGCTGTCGCCCAAGTTCTGGCTCAGGCACAGAACAAAAATTGACCCTCTCTTCATGAAAGTGCTGAAGATTCCAAAACATCAGTGCTCAAGGGACAGAGATCACCACATACGTTCTCCTCCCATGTATGTACACATGTGGAGATGGAACCCAGGAGTCCTGACCCCCATCTGGGCACCTTCTATCGCAGTGGAGAGCCATCCACCATCTGATGCCGAAAGAACGGCGTAAAAACCAAGATGGACTTGGCCTGTCACTGCTCCTCACCCCACTGCTATTGTTAGATGGTCCACAGAGGAAATTTATGGGAAAGGCCAAGGTCTGTACAATGTGAATTTTCGGGTTTTCCCAGTAAAATTTTGCTGCCGGTTGTGGGGTTGGGAAGTTCATTCCCGGGTCCCCTGGCAGATTCAGACAGGCTGGGTGAGGGGTAGGGGTTGCTTCCTGCTTGGCCTATGTTCTGGATTCCGGCCATCTGAGATATGCCCTGCCCGGAATCCTCTCTCCGTGGTGGCACTGGAGGTGAAGGGAGCCACTGATGTTTGGAGCAAGGTTTCTGGGTAGTAAATTATTTCCCTCGTCTGCAACATCTGGGGCAGGGATGACTAATGGGGGGGGTCCCATAATTTCCCCTTTGGGTATGTGGGAGATGACTCCTGACTATGCTATCTTCTCATGTTCTGGAGGCTTTCTAGGAAAACTCATTTTGTTCTATTCATTTTTCTTGATCACATCCAGGAATAGTAATTCATTCAGTCAACACTATTTGAAAGCAGTGCTTATTGAGTGCAAGCCATGATTTAGGCATTGGGAAAGGTGCAGGCAACAAGACAGACCAGCCCTGCCCCCGGGGAGTTTACAGTGTAGCGGGGAAGTCAGGGCGCAAACAGGAAAGTAAACAAACAAGAGCATTGCAGGTGATGAGCGCTATGAAGGACATCAAAAGAGGGATGGCGCTCGGGCTAGTGCCGGGAGGGCGTGGGGGAGTCACTTTATGTTGAAATAATTTTAGATTATTTATGAATAGATGTATCTATAATAGACTTAGAGAAAAGTTGCTGCAAGAATAGTACGGACACTTCCCATAGGCTCTTTACCCAGGTTCCCCTGCGGTTGGCATCTTACACAAGCAAGCCACAGTGTAATGATCAAAACCAGGACACTGATATTGATGCAATACCACTAACTAAACTATAGGCTTTTCTTGAATTTTACCAGTTTCACCACGAATGTCCTTTCTTCTGTTCCAGGATTCAATCTAGGATCCCACATTCCATTTAGTTGTCTGGTGTCCTTGGTCTCCTCTGATCTGTAACAATTGCTAAGTCTTTCCTTGTTATTATTCTGTGGCATGTCCCTCGATGTGGATTTACATGATGTTTTTTCATGATTAGATTGAAGTTATGGATTTTGGAGAATACCACAGAAGTGACGTCCCCTTCTAAGCACATAAAATTGTAGGACAAAGCAAACAGTCAGTATATTAGTATTGTTAAGACTCAGTTATTCAGTGAAAAAGAAAACAGAAATATAAAATTCAAAAATTTAAATAAAAGCCTAAAATACTAAATTTGAACTGCAAAAATAGTCTGATGTCATGATTTTTTTTTCTCTTAGAAAATATTATTCCCTCCCTTTGTCCACTGAAAAAGCCCCTGAACAATGGCCACGCAGGGACAGTGGGAGCGGTAATGCTCAGAGCGCAGTCTCAGAACACACTCCACTACAGGGCACAGGGCTCTTGGAGAACCAGCCGATTTCCCACTCAGGGCAGGAAATGCATGAGCAAAGCCTGGACCATACCAGAAATGAGGAAGCTGTCA